GCCTATGAACTGTCTCTGCTTGCTGACATCATCAGAAGTGGTGGTCTGAGCCAATCACAGCCCAACACCGTGCTGAGATTGTCAAGGAGACAGATCAAGGGCAGAGCCAACACAAGTCAAACACAGCTCTGGCCATTCAGCATATCCTCATCAAGATACATTGAATCAATGCATCTCTATGAGGAAAGTCCAGTGTCTGCTTGCAGAGGGTGGGGACACTGAATGGCAGTGCTGCTTACTCTGCAGCACTGCTCAAGGAAGCACTTCTAGCAGCCATCTGAGGAGAGGCCAGTGGAGTTATCACTAGGCTGTAATACAGCAAAAATACTGATGGGAATGATTCTACTCGCTAGAAAAAATGCAATAAGCTGTAGTTGTTCTGGTGACTATAGTGTCCCTTTAAGTTGATGATTTAAATTCTTGTATTATTTATGTAACATATTATTTATGTAACGTATTTGTGTCTGAAATGCTGTTAATTGCATGTATTTGTCAGTGAATATATGCATCTTGTGATACCAGTTTTGTTTTATGTATATTGTAGTTTTTACAAGATAACCACAGGAATAAGCACATTGTCTTGGTTAAAGGAACACTAGTGTTAGTAATACAAACCTGTGTCCCTCTTCCTAACTCTGAATAGGTGCCCATTTCACATAAGCAGAAGAAAAAATCTTTTACTTACCTTGTTGCAACGCTGAAGCTCTTTCGGCACTGCTCACCTCTTCTCCTATGGTGTGGTCAAATCCATTTTACCTCCTATAATGTGGTCCAATCCATTTCTTCTTCTAGAGGAGCATTGGGGATCTAATGCGCATGTGTAGTGCACAATTTCAGACTTTCCCATAGGAATGGATTGCATCAATTCCATGTTTTATTTGGTCAGTGCAGCGGAAGCGCCTCTAGTGGCAGTCATACTGACATTTTTACTTACCTTGTTTCAGTGCCAAAACTCTCTCAATGCTGCTCAATTCTACTCCTACTGCGATGGCACAGAAGAGGTATGTATTGCCTCCTGCGTTGTGGTTCAATCCAATTCTGGATATAGAGGAGCATTGGGGACCTAATGTGCACGTTCAGCATGTACTTTCAAACTTTCCCATAAGAAAGCATTGAATCAACGCTTTCCTATAATGCTTCCGCATCACGTGACCTAGTTTTACCATGTCAGTGTAGCAAAAGTGCTTCTAGTGGCCAGGGCCGGATTTAACCTTTCTGCTGTCCCAAGGCCAATTTCTTCAATGCACCAGGTCCTTC